CAAATTCAACACCAAAACTTTCAGGGGGAGCTGAAAAATCAAAGGACAAAGCAGTTTGGGAGAACGAGCAAAAAGACAAAATAATATGTGAAAAATGGTATGACAAAAACCATGATCAAGACGATTTTAAGATATAAGAAAATATTGACAGCTTCGGTACCAAGTGTAAACATTGTTATTAACAAGACAATTTTCTAGACAATTAGACAATTTGCAATTTCGACTAATTAGGAAGAATAAGTTAACTTTTTTAAAAAAAATCAAGAGGCCTCCTCAAAATTAGGGGCCATCTTACATCCAATTGACTTATATTCAGGTAAATATTCCAATCGACGTCCAAATACATCCAATCGACTAAAATTCAGGTTTTCCTAATTAACCACAACCTTATAACATTAGCAGGCAAGCTTCTAATTAGGAAATTCCTATACTGGACAGGACCTTAAGTTAAACAAATTTATTGAGGATGATTTCCAAGAGAAGATTTCTGAATCAGTCCAGTTCGAGCTGAAGTTGCAAATTCCACTGTAAACCACCAGAAATTATTGAACAAAATTTACAACACACCACATGATTATAGCACAGCATAAGCCAATAGGTTCACATGATTGATAGTTCGCAGCGATTATACTTTTAAATAATAAAAGCAGCAACTGATGCACTCAAATGATGGGCCTTTCACAGGCAAAAGTTTTGACTCATGTTCTCTTATGTGTTCACTGATAAGATTCTTGGAAACAGTGCATTACTTTTCGTTACCCTGATGATCTGACTGTTGCAGCCCAGGAAATACCGTTCTAAGAACTAAATAACATATTAGTCCTCAATAAATACGAAAAAAGTCAACATATAGTCAACAATTGTTTGTGTCTTTAATCTGAAAAACAAGAAAACTGTAGGGAACTTAATAATTACTGGCGAGGACACCATCTGACTCATGTGTTCAACTCAACTTATCTCAAAGTGCAACTTAACAGAAGTTCAATCTTCAGGAGTTGCTATGAAAACCTTTGGAACAAAAGTAAGCACAAGTAATAGTTGACTTCAGAAACTACTTGGGTCAAATTGGAGTGCTGATGCTATCACACAGAGAACAACTCTCATTGTGCTTCTCAACTGCAGAACATGCATGCCCTGCTTAGTGAAAATGTCCACAAACCAGCTCTGAATACAAACCGCAGAATTATCACCGGCTGTCTAAAATCATTAAAAATCAAGTATTTACCATCTAAGCAGGGCAGCACTCCCAGAAATATGAAGGAAAGCTGAACAGACCAAACAGATGTAGTTTAGCAGACATTAATCTCCACCAAACTAAGGACTCCAATCCAGCAAAAGCAAACAACCATCGACAGAAGTCCCACTGGAGGTTTCTATTGCCTTGGAACATTTTTCTGCTCTTCAGCACTAACATCAATATCTATGGTTTATGGCACACATGGTATTCCATGTATTCAAGTATTAATGGGAATAGGAAATGCTGAATCACCTCTGAACAGAGCTAAATGTTATTTTAACCTTAGTATATTGTTTGAAATACGTGCAATATTTATTTTCATATTGCAAACTAGTATTATTAATGTTCTTTTGCAATTATAAGTCAATAAATGAATTTTTGTTTCCTGTGGTTGTGATCACCTGACACAAATACAGGAATACACTCCAAAAACCGTTAAAAGTTGTATGAACAACTGAAACTGATACAAGGAAAGAGAATTTGTTCAAAACAATTGGTATGTATTTCACATTATTAGAAGCAGTCATATAGAGCAAAATATCAACATACCCGATGTAGCCAACACACTAAAAATGGCTGGTTAAGTTAATCACACAGCACATATTTTTTTGGCACATAAAATCATATTGGAATTCCTTCAAAACTGTAAGAATAAATTGTGGTATCTTACTGTACTTCAAAAGATCTTTCTTTGGTACTGATAGCTAGCGTGGTGCAATTTTGCCAAATACGTAAGCACTTGCTCTCATTTAAGGTCTTATGTTACATTTAAGGCTGAAATGCTAAAAGCAATGAACCTACGCTCAAAACCCAATTGTGTCTTCAGTGGTGCACACAAGAATGTTTACAGGTAAGCAGGTCAGTGGGGGATGCAGTAACTCTTACCCAATTGGCCCAGCACCTGCATTATTTAAAAGGTTCTAACTCCTGTGCTATAGCAGTGCAAAGGTACTATGTACCTTTATACCTCAAGTCTACTATTTTCCATAAAAATAAAATTATGCAAAAAATACTTAATAAAATTCACAGAGTAAGTTATTATACCTTATTGTATAAGATGACCATCAAGGAATTTATGTTTCTTGAACTAAATTTTCCAGAATTATTTTTTAAGACAACATACTTGCCAATTAAAACTAATCAGTCAAATTGCTTTTGGAGTATTTGGAAAGTAAGTAAATGAATAAATGCAAAATTTGAAAACATACAAAGTTTCAATAAAGACAACTCTCAAGTTATACCTCATTTTCTTTCAATTGTAAATTTTTAATAGATATACAAGCACCAAAGGAATTTGTACATCTATGAAAATAAAAGAATTAAAAATAATAAAAATTGACAAATGAACAAACGAACAAAGAGCTTTACAGACCTCTTCAGAAAAATCTTTATTACAGTCTTCTTTCCTGAACGCTTCAACAATTGACAATCACAAAATCAAGTCAAACAAATTACTAAACTTACATTAACAACATACTTTGCTTTTTATTTTGATCATAAAAAAAGCAGTAAGTAAGTCCAGAGAACATTATAATCCAAAGCAACAGCATTTGACATATTATAACAATACTAGATTCAGTTTATAAATAAATGATCAATTAAATCTGCAAATACATATAAAACTCTGCAATTTTCTAAGACACAAAAGAAGTTAATCTTCAATAAAAAATGGATGTCTTGGCTGGCATTCGTCTCTAAATCAGTTCTGGAAACAAGTATTTGGAACTGTCAACCTAAATAGTTGCATATTAACAATAGAAACTGAAACTGCCCTACTTAGACAAGTTCTGAAGGATTTGGAATCTCCTTACGAACCATTTACAACAAAGAGAAAATATAACTTTTCAGATTTCAAACCAATGAACAAGATTTTACACAGAGGAAGTAATTATTTTATGCCATACAATTATGAAAATGTTTGTGTTTTTTTTTTTTCTTTTTTTTTTTTTTAGGTACTTCTCTGATTAATTCTCTCATCCCTTTCCCCTTCATTCAGTCACACATTCTTAGTGAAGCACATGTGTTCCAACCTATTACCTCATAATCTTCATACATGGACACCCATACAAGCACACAACATTGACATTTCACATGCACCTAGAAACACTGCACCTTCCCACAAGCACACAACTTGGTCAAAAGGGACTGTCAAAAACACTTGTGGAATTAGAAATCAGCACTTGAATTGCATATGGTATCCATGTATATAACAATTAATAATATATTTTGTAAATGAGATCTTGCAGATAAATAAATTTTAGATTAAAGATCAGAAGCAACTAAAATGAGCAAAGGAAATAAATTCAATTAACCTATTTCAAATCACAATGTTTTGAATGTTCCATGAGATATTTCTAATACTATAGTTTTGGAATATAAAATAATTTAAATTTGGTCCTAGTATGGAGACGATATCTGTAGAGAAGAAATTCTATACAGCTGCTATCTTCCACTACCGTTGCATGCTGAAGGACAAAACTATATTTTTCAACAGCATACAACAATGACGATAAGCAATAATACAACACATTAAAATTGGTTTTGATGTAAAAGCCAAAGTAAGTTTACAGATACCATTGCAAAACAACAGGAAACGCTGAAAACGCTAATATTTTCTCAGAAATATGTATTTTCTCAGTAATAGGTATTGTGGATTTACAAATTCCTAGTCCAAGTTAATCACTGGTCGAGTTGAAAAATTTGCTTCAAACACAAAAATATTTCATTGGATGTAATCCTCAAAGCTTCTTATCACATGCAAAATGAAGGTGACTATCCTGAATATAACACTCACTTAAGCGTTGTGGAAAACAAATGCCAAGACATCACTCATCACACAAGTTGCTCAAAGATAATGCAGTGTTTGTACTAGAAGACGAAGATTATCCTCACACTGCACATAAAACTTATTTCTTCAAATATTGAAGTCCACTAAATACAATTTTTGTTTATTTTTTCATTCATTTTTGAAGAATCATTGTTTTCAGCAAATGTCAACCATGAAATTATCTAAGCTTTGAGAAAAAAGCAGACTAAAAAATGTATTTAATTAAAACTGTTACTACAAACTTCTTTATGCTCATTTCATATCTCCCACAATGTCACAAATAATACTTCGAAAAGATATGGATTCAAACTACAATTAGCAACCATATTGTATGATGAAAATCATATCTTTGGCAAACACTTCCCACAGCTCATTATTTAAAAGAGCATGGGAAATGTGACATTTTTACAAACACATGCATTACATTTCACCAATGCACATCAACACACAATTTTATATCAACACAAATTAATAACATATGGAACAAACTAGGAAAATCATAAGCATTTCATATTCAAAGCTCAGCCAAATTAGTCTGTTTTAACATGTTCAAATTGAAAAGCTCAGCAATGCACATACATGTCAGGCCTATTAGACCATAAATCTAAATGACGATTATATCTGATATATTGCTTTTGTTTTGATCTTCATTTTATTATTTTTCAATTAATAGAGACATTAGATTTGGAAAGTAATCGAGTACAATTTTGTTGGCAATATCGACTGTTTAAAAACACTCAAATCACTCATTATTTTCAAGTTACATAATACAAAAAACACCTATTGGAAATAGAGAAAAGGAAAAAATATATTTTGGTAAACCTTAAGGTAGGATTTAACTGAAGTTGTAAATTGGAATTAGCTATTAAGCCATGGGTACAAAAAGAAATATTAAAAAAAGGAATATATGAAGTACCATAAAGAATGTTCTCTTACCTTTGCTGACTCTTTCAGGTGGTTCATTGACGGATCGTTGATGGACTTCCCAGAGGCAGCTTTTGTAGCATGAACAAGATCTCCAAGAGCAGATGCTACATCTTTCACTGCATTTATTAGCATCACCTGAGCTTCTGGATTGTGGGCACCTAAAGATGCTGCACCCAATTTAACCACTTCTGCTAACTGTAAAATTGTTGACACAGCATTCTGGGCAGCTACTGCTAGTTGCTCTTGAGAAGAGGCTGCACCTGGAGAAAAATAGAGAAGAAATCTTTCTATGAGTGTGCACATCTTTTCAGCATCATTGGTCTTACAGCTCTTGTGCACCAACAGAGGTAAAACTAGGAAACATCCTAGCATCACAGCAAAGCTCTTAAATACAAAGACTTCTTAACCAGAGGAAAAAAACCTCCTCACAATATGATTTCATGGAAAATTAATTTGCTCAGGCTGAAATATCAAAATATTAATATAAAATTATTAAAATCATTGAAGCTTTAGCTACCAGCTTTAAAAATTTAATTTGCTTGATTTTTTTTTCATAACAGCAATAATGAACATTGTCTTAACAATTTTAGACTGGAGAAGTCAATGTATCAGTAATGAACAATGTAGACAGAATGAGTCATTCTGTGTTAAAATTGGCATGTTCTGCACGAGATGAATACATTTTGTTAATGTTACTTTACTGAGAAAAGTTTTGTAATTGAACAGCTGTTTTGTAATGACCAAAGCTCATCTGTAAGGCAAATCAAATCCTTAAACATTGAGCTTCACAAGAATTGAGAGAAAGTTTATTTTGTTCCAATACAAACTATGGAAAATGCAAATTCATGAATAGATGAAATTGATCTGTATTGAACCAGAGGGTGATAAAGCTTCACCAACATCTCCAACAACTAAAATTAAGCAAATGCTGCACCAGTTTCCAGGAACACAAATGACTTGAGTTTAGGACTATCTTCATGAGTCAACAACAACAACAAATTATTGTTCCCCACCCCCAAGTGATGACTTTAACGAGATAAAAGGTTTCAAAGAAATTAAAAAATCGGGTATCACTATTTCTACCAGACTACTTGTCTGCAAGAACAAATCAGAAGAGTTATTAATTATCAATATTACAAATTAAGAGGAACACTATTTTATTAATATTTGACACCTGAAATAACTTACCTGTAAATCAACTACATGAACAGATCCTACATGTTAACGGCAATATGACTACCGTAACTAAAAAAATGACATAAGAGCATTAGAAGTAAATGATAATTGACATTTTTGTGCTTCTTACCAGCAACAAGGGTCTTTGTGTCTTCCACTAAAGCTTTGGCAGTCTTAAGAATATTTTCTCTATGATCAGCAAATGATTTGTCTTCATCTTCAGCATGTAAAGTTCCTGCAGTGGCAAACATAATTGTGGTATCCAAATCACCAATAATTCCAGAAACTGTGCTTGCAGCATTAATGCAAGCTTGTGTGCCCCTTGACCCAGCTTGCAAAGCTGCTAGAATTTGTGAAACCTGCAGCAAAAAGAATTATCCTCATGTATATTTTTAACTTAATACGATATTTCACGTTGTCAAAATTAAAACAACTTTTAGACATTGGATTATGTTGAAACATAGGAAAATAGAGTTATATTCAAAAGCAAGTTGCCCCATGCTAAATCCTGTTTAAATTTCAACCCCTCAGGAGTACCAGTTGTCCTGTATTACCCAAACTGACTGAAATTTTGCATAGCTCGTGAGATGTACAATATGAAACAAGATGTACAATATGAAAAAATATAAATTATGAATGCAAATAAAAATTATTTAGTAGTATTTAAAAGTATTTATAAACAAAAATAACTACCCAAAAGACTTGCTGAAAAAATGGCACAAGTATTCATAGATATTTTGAAAGCATTCCCGATTGGTATCAAGTTTATGCTTACCTTCTCGGACACAGTACGAGCAGCATCAGCAACATCTCTGCGAGCATATTCATCATCAGCTGGAGCTAGCTGGCATGCTCCTCCAGCTCTTACAAGTTCTTGTGATGCTCTACCCAACTCTTGAACCCCAAAGCGCAAACGAGCAGCTACCTCACTGTTAGCTGTTGCTGCAGCTGCACCCACACTATCCTGGGCGAGCTGGCCATAACGTCTAGCCAGCTCTGCAGCTAATGGACCCAGACGAGCAGCCTCTCCACTTCCTGACTTGGTTGTCTGTGAAGAGGGCACAATCACAGAACACTTTATCCACAAAGGATGCATATAATGCACTGAATGTACTTTAATAGACACACTAAAGATAGCTACTTTAATGCAGATCAAAGAAACAAACATCACTCAAGAAAAGAATCTTTAAAATATGCGTTAACCCCATCTTGAAAAGTAGTTCAGAGTGATCACTTTTTTCCTTACATACACACACACACACAAACAGATTTAATTAATTAAAAATATCAATAATGAATATATGAGGCAAAAAACATTTGAAAAAACTTTGCAGTTTTCAAAATTTAACAGGTTTTAAGTAGTATATTTGAGCCAGTCACTAGTCAAATACTCAACACTTATTGCATCAACAAATTAACAATAGCTGCTTGTAATCGTGAATAGAGCATTAAAATATTTACTTGTGAATTGTTAAAAGAAAAGTATTGAATGACTGATCTAGGAAAACTGATTAATAATAAATTTAGTATGTTATACAATTTTTCATTTTCATAAGCTGGCATTGCTAAAATAGGTTAAAAATATGACTTCAGCTTCAATTTTTCTTCCTTTCTGCATTGAATGTCAGTCCACATTGGTTGCAGTGAGCATTTATTGATTATTAAGTAGTATGTGGATGTGTGATGTATAACATTTTAAGTTAGCACGGTTTTCAATTGTACCCAAAACACGTAAGCTCAGGAAAGTTTTTCCATAAGAACCTGTACTAACTTAAACTTATTTTATTTAAAAATTAGGCTGGTAAGGGCCATATTCGTTCATGCCGTTTTGAAAAACAATGACTTCACTTTAGTTTAGTGTCCAAGACAAAAAATTATTGTAAACAATAGCATTGCCACCTTGTCCCATTTTTTTTTCCAATGATTATTACACCAATTCTCTTTGAAAGTTGAAAGTTGCAGTGAACTGGGTATATCTGTGGATGAAACTTTGTTATTAACAACCTCAGTAGTTTCACAGTGTAAATTGTATGAGAAATGACAGTCATCATAATTTGATTCTATTATCATTATGGTGTAGTCATTGATAAAAATAAGCAGAAAAACTTTGAACCACAAGCACAAAGGAGTTAAAATTTTGTGTAGCTCACCGTGAAATCTAGAATTATTGACCATACCTGTGTACAGTTGTACAACCATTGTGTTTGCATTTTAAATCTACTGAACTTTGAATGGTATTAGTCAGGAATAAATTTTGTCACAAGGTTATGTCTCACAGCAGTGCTCATTAAATTATGATGTTAGTAATTTTATCTACCAGATCAGGATGAAAGCCAGGTAAATTTCCATTACTTTACCCAGTCATACACAACATCCAGTCACTGCCTACTACACTTACAAGAAGATTTATTATATACCAGGTAAAACTAGCAAAGAACATAATTTCTTCCAAAGAACGGACCCCTTCCAAATGCGATTTCTTAGTAAAATTCTGTTTAAAATGTTAAAAACTTTTGTAAGAAATTAAAGAATAAAAACTTTCAGAAACAAGGAAGGAACTTACCATATCTTGAGCAATACGAGCAATTTCCTTTGCCACTTGCACCATGCGAGTCTGAAATTCCACAAAACTCTGCTCAGAAGAAGCATCACCACCATGCAGAGATGCTCGGGAATCAGCAACCCGAGACATGGCCCGAGTAATCTGATCTAAAACTCCACGGACTACTCCTGCTTGGGTGGCTAGTGCTTCAAGAGTACGTCCAAGATCAGCTAAGGCATCTCTGGTCGCCTCTACAGCTTCCTCTACCTCTTGATGAGCACCAACTGCCTGTAGAATGCAAATAAAAATGAATAATACATCAAATACCAAATCAATTAATGTATACTTTAATTATTTACAATTTAAAGGAGCTACTAATAAATTAACACTTTTAATACCAAGCTTAAGACTAGCTTTTAATTTACCTTGGGATTACCACCCGCTTCCTTTGCAGCAAGCACCAACTGAAGAGAGCATTCTGCTACAGTCTTTGCTTGGTCTAGAAGGGCCATTTGTTGTTTTGAATGCATCATATTCGAGGCAGCTCCAACAGCACCAGTGACCAGTGGTTCCAAGTACAAGGTTGCCTTTGATGTAACAATAAATTAGGAATAACAGATGAACAACATTGAAAACCAAAGAAAATTAACAAACAACTGCCCCAAAATAGTTTTTTCAGAATTTTACTGTCCAATGTATAAAGTAATAAACCTTTTACAAACTCTAAAATTATAAATAAATTATATTTATTAACAATATACTAGTGAGTAACTACCTTTCTATCAAGGCAGAAAATAAAAACTGGGAGGGAGAACACCCTTGAGACAAAGAAGGTAAGAGAAATCAAATAATTTTTGAAACCACTGGTGAGAAAGAATAAGATTTCCTTTACCTGATCAACAGCATGTCCCAGTGCTTCAGCAAAGCCGCCTGTGGCAGCTGCACGAAGAGGTTCCAATTTATCAGCCATTTCTGCTGCAGCTGCTTCGGTTTGTTCAGCAAATCCTTGGAGAGAAGAATCCCGACGTGGAGGCAGGCTTTGAGACACTGCCGACAGGCACGCTGCATCGAGATCACGAATAACTGTCCGCAGTCTTTGAGCTGCAGCATCACATTCACGTTGTCCTGGAGCTTTGTCCCTGAAGACCACCACAAAAATCTTTTTACCTTCACTTCATGTATCTTTGAATTCTCAAACAGAAAAGACATAAACAATACTTGAAACGAATGTTTTCAAAACAGGTGGTACTAAACTATCTGAATTTCAAGTATACTCTGTTAAAGATTGTGAAAGAACTTAAAGAAAAACCAGAAGCCATGGACAAGAGCGGGACAGAATGAAAGGCTAGAATGCAAATTGAACATGCAAAACATTCAGAGGATGATTTTAAGGAAAAAGAAAATTGAGAGTTCAGGTAATAAGTTTTAACATTCTCATCAACATGACAATTTTCAATTTTTTGACTACATAGTAAGAATTAGTTAAAAATATTTAAAATTCTCAGGAGGCCTCTTCAAAATTAGGGGAGCAATCTTATATTCAGAGTTGACTTATATTCGGGTAAATACAAAGTTGATCTTCCAGTTTACATATGAATAAACTTTTATACAAGTGACCTACATCAATGTATCATTACTCACCGAATGGAAGATGCAAGACGCTTGATTGCATCTGACACTGCCTTGCTGTGTGAAGCCAGTAATTGCCAAGTAGGAGGATCTCTAGGGCTCACAGCTAGTGATTTGGCTGCCTTCACAAGTGACACAGCACCATCAATAATATCTCTACCAGCGCCAGTAATGGGCTCCTGGGCAGCCCGTGCTGCCACAGCAATGCGAGCAGGCTGAGAAGCAAATTCTGGAGATGCAGCAAAAGTGCACAGACCTTCCACTGCTTCCAACAATGGCTGTGTAGCAGCTCCACAAGCTTGTCTATTCTGTTCACTATAGTCTGCATCCAATGCTATGAAAAAAGGAATATTTACAAGAATAACAACACAAGATAAACCCAGTTAAATGTAATGTTCCATTAAAAGATAAGTAATGTAACCATAAAATTTATAAGTATATGCACCTTTTATTTCCTTCACTAAGCTGGCAGTAGAGTTGGCAACATCTTTAGCAGACTGAACAAAATGTCTCTTTGCCACAGGATTTGTTGTTTTTGAAGATGCTCCTCGGCAGGCATTGCACAAAGAACTAGTATGCTTAGCAATAACAGTAGCAGCAGATAACACCTTCAACAGAAAGAATTATTAAATGCATTTCATAGTATTCTGGCAAAAACACAATTTTACACCACAACATTAATAAAATATCTGTTTAATTTGACAGAACCCATTGAACTGGCATTTGTGTTGGATAAAAAATTTAAAATTACAAATTGCAAAAGTAGTTACTATTACAACATCGAATAAGTATACCTGTTGTTGGTTTGCAGCAGGATTTGTCAACTGTTGGCATGCCTGGCGAATAGCTTGGGCAGCACGGGCAAACTGGGCTTGGTCCACCAAGCCAGCCCGGCCCACTTGAGACGCAGGGTGTGACACTCCCACGAGATATGCTGCCTGTGCCGCAGCTTCAACTAAGCCACACACTGCAGATGCTGCTCCACGAACAGCTCCTCCAAACTTTTCATACTCAGAAGCTTTAGCATGCTGGGCAATGCCAGTCATACCATCACCTACACAGTTAATTCAATTATAGAAATTTCTTTCTTGTATACATCGACATCATGTTAGCAAAAATTCTAACCATTACAGAACCTCACCTAGGGATTTAGATTTCTCCATAATGTGGTCAAGACACTCAAAGTAGCTAAGATCAGAAACTGGCTCTGATGGGTTTTCTAGAAGTGGGCGCATTGATTGGATATTGCGCACAGCATTATCACATTCTTTCTGTCCAGGAGCAGCTGATGTGCACACATCAATGAGGTGGTTGATACTATCAGTTACTCCTCTGAAATCATGTACATGTCAGAAAATGCAAGCCTACCAGTAACTTAATGAAAGTTTTCCTTAAACACATCATTTATCATTGCTTCTTTTACTCTGTACCCACCTTGCTGCAGCTGCCAACTGATTCTTGGCATTAGGAGCACTAGGGTCAGCAGCTACTGTCTTAGCTGTAACTAACAGTGTTGAAGATACCATAGAGACATTCTTCAATGACACTACCATCTGGCCTTGAACTTCTTTGTCCTGTATATTGTACAAACAAACATAGTGCTAAGCAATCTTCACGTGTATGTTAGGTGATTCAAAACTAAATAATACAGAGTACAAAACAAACAACAATAATGCACACAAAAATGCAAATAATATACCTGGGTTTGTCCTGCCATTTCCATGCTGACTCCAACCAAATCTCCAAAGGCAGTTCCAAATTTTCGGGAAGATGCTGCCAATTCAGCAGGAGATCTAACTGATGATACCACCTCAGCAGATGCATCATTGAGGCTAGCAGCAGCTGTATTGAGCTCTTGCTGAAGTTGTCTGAAAGAGAAAGAAAACTTTTTTTTTTAAACTTAGGCCTTGAAAAATTAAACAAATATTAGAAAATTAATCTCTGAATAATCACAATTAAATTAAGATAAAACAGAATAACATATACAAAAATGGTTTACTCTCACAACTATGAAATATCATTACACAAAAAATCTAATTTGTGTTTACAAAAACAAAATTAGTAAATAAATGTACAATATATACCCATATGATTTGTTGGAAACTGGAAACTCTTGGTGATCAATGGCTTGAGACGCATCAGAAATAGTATGAAGTGCTTCATCAACAGCCCTCTGGCCAGGAAGGCAGCCAACACAAGCATTGAGAGCCTAGTGGAAGAACAAGATCCCTGATTACTAATTCCAAAAGATTAGTAACTGTCCTAAAATAAAAACTTACTTATGTTTTATTTTGAAAGCAACAAAGAACATTAACAATTATTTGATCAGCTATTTATTTATCAGATCGATACACTTCTTTAGAAAACACAAAACGATGCAGAATGCCCTGACACATAGGACATACCCTACATTATCAGGATGTGTAAAAATATGCAGTAATACATTTTATAGATAAATGAAACAAGTTTAATGTGAAAAACAAAAATACTGCATTACTAATTAATTTGCTTAACTTAACTTACTAACCTGTGAAACATCCTTTACCACATTAACCAATGAAGCATTTCCATCAGGTCTGTCTGGTTGATGAAGGGTAACTCTGGCTTCCTCAATAAGTCGAAGAGAATGCTCCATCACCAAGTCTGCTCCTGAGATTAGCCTACAGAGATCAAAAGAGCTACTGAATAAATAGTTGTTAAGAGAGTTATAATAACAACTTTTGTTTTGTTTCTAAGAAACTACAGTTCTCAGAACTAAAGGTCAGTCAATAACCAATCTCGGAAGCATCTACTGATTAACAGAAAAGGATGAAAATTCAGAACAAAACAGAATTTTTTTCATAGTATGTCTCAAGAATCTATTGCTGAAGTTCCATCTCCTCTGTCAACATTTGATATATATACACCGACATCTGTACAAGTGCTTGAAGGTCACATTAGGATTCTTAGGGAGTATTAATTTATCTTTTCCTTCAAATTATAGAAGTGAAAATTTACTACAAATTTGGTCATAGGTAATGTGAACAACAGTTAATTTTCAGACTGAATGGATAGACAAGTATTATTTTAGGAAGATTTCAACATTTTGCTCTTCAACTTTTTTAGTGATATTAGATATTCTCTGTTATGATAATTTTTTACAATCAACAAAACCCAACCTACACAAGTTCATCCATCTCGATTTTTTTAAAATTATAAATTAAAAAGGTACTCTAGGCAGGAACATTTAAATATTGTAAATGAATTATTCATGGTGAATGTGCACAATATTAAGGCAATAAATTATTTATAAACTCCCATTCTCAGATTTTCAACAGCCTTAATTTCACACTATGGAGGTGATGAAGAAAATTGTATTCTGTGATGGGTTAAATGGACAAAATAGTTTGGGATCCCTCCTCTATGTCTCATCTTATTACTCCTCTAAATAACCCTTAATTAATAGACTGTGTGCAACATCATGTTCAAGTTTCATACTACAGAACATTAACTATCATAAACACATCAATATACTGCTAGCCAAACATTCGCCCTCAAACTCATACCTGCGCTGGGTGTCTCTATCCTTAGAAGTAGCAGCCACACCACGGACTGCATTGGTAAGCTCTCTCAGAGAAGCTGCAGTTGCTCGAGCTGCTTGGCCTGTATAGCTCTCATTGCCCTGAGCTGCAGCAGACACCAATTGGGCCATGCCCGCAGATACGTTTTTGGAGACAGAACCCAACTGAAGTGAAGTTGACTCAGCCTGAAATTGTAAAGGTCTACATTTCAGAAACTATTATTTTTACTACTTTGTAACTTGACACAAAACATCAGTTGTCAGAACCTATTTTTGGAATAAAAATTACTAATTTTCAATGCAATTCGAACTGCAAGATAGTGAGATTTAATTATTGAATCATCACCCTTGAATAATATTATATTATGAATAAATTTACTATTTAAATTTGGTGAGTGCCTGTTCAATAAATAAATAAATAAATAAATAAATGACATTTTTAACTAAATTTCAATGATACGAGAAACATTTTTTCCCGTTGTTTTTCAAAAAAAAAATATTTAAGTAAGTTTTCAACTTACATCACAGATTTCTCTTAAAACAAGCATATATTAACAAACTATTACACATATTCAATTACTTTCTCTATTATATAAATACCAATTGCACACAATTATCCATACCGTTTCACCAGGTAGTGGCCGCAACTCCAGGCGATCTGCAGCCCTCTGAAAGGCCTCCAGTTCTGCACGGAGAGAATTGATAAGATCTGTAGCAGCATTTAATTCCAATCCAGAGCCACAAGCTTCACGTGCACGTCCTAGGGCAGCCCGCAAGTCTCCCAGTGACTGACCGAGGGACTGGGCACTTGTCTGTAGTTGCATAGCTGATGCATGGTCAGTCACTGTGGGAAGTACAGCTCGGGCAGACTGAACTACACGATTTCCAGGCTGTTGAAAAACATATGCATTAGACTAACTTGAGAATGTTTTGTGAAGATAATTTAATGAACACTTAAATAGTCCAACTCGCCAACCCCCCCCCCCTTTTCCCCCTAACATTCTGATTACCAAACAATTCCTGGTGAAAGGAGTATTTTATCCCAGAATTAAGGATTATAAACAAGAAAGTGAACGAAAATGTTTTCCTAAATATTATTTTTTTGAATTCCATACTAATGTTTGTTTAAAAATTAATAATGCTAATGTGTATTTACTTTCCCTCTTCATAATTCCATTTTTTAAAACATGAAAGTTAACAATGTTTCAGCTGTCTGTGGAAGATATTATTACTAATACAGATATTAACACACATTAGATGAAGTGCTTCAAAGTTATCATTTTGTGAATAACGAAATGCTGGAAATTTTAAGTTCTCATAACTAATCAATAAAAGGGACACAAAGTTTACAAACATTTTTTCCCAAACGCAACAAAGTTTCTAAGCACTTTTAAATTAAAATAATTATTCGATTCAATTACATAATTTTTTATCTTAATCTCCATTTACCCACCTGAAGAAAAGCTTCTGAAGCATTGATCAAGTGGAGCTGGGCACTACTAGAGTCAGGTTGTGCTAGTGTTCCTTTGACCCCTTCTACTAAGGCTGGTACTTGTTCAGCAAGAGTGCGACATTCAGCCAAGAGCTCTTCCTGAGAAGCCCGATGTGTGGTGTGAGGGGCTGCACCCTGGGCTGCAGCCACACATTGCGTGCCTGCTGCAGCAGACTGCTTAGCAGCAGCCTGCAGCAGGACAACAGTCAGTCTTTGGTGCATCATTCAAGCCACCAGCATTCAACAGTAAGAAAACATCTAGCAAAATATAGGATAGACACCATAGCTATTTGTATGTGAAAACAAGCAAGCTCTAAAGTGCTTGTGACTGAAGGAAAATCATTACAGAAATTAGATGAGGGCATGAAACTCCCTGTCAAATCAGAAACACCAAGTTGCAATGAAATGACATGCATGCAGCTATGGCCATTAACAATTTTCTTCCAAAAAATAGTAACAAGAAAGAAGCCCCCTTTTTTGCTTTTTTGAGTCTCTAGGTGCAAAATTCCGGATAGATAAAATAACACACATGCCCTCACAAAAATCAAAAATTAATGATTACATCTTCACATACTTCAGAAATTATTCCACACAGCTATACTTTAGGAACGGAACATTTCAAATCTAAAATTCTGAAAAACATTCACGATACAAAAACATGAATCTGCATTTGTAGTTTTCATTTCTTGTGAATTCTCTGGAACCTATCCTTAATTTTTTTTAAATTACTCTTTCTTCTCTATACATCCATGTTTTATATTTACATTATTTTAATTTAATTAATGTACCATATTTTCTAATGTTTACATGAAGAACATCAAGGATATACAGTAAAACCCCTCTTTTACACTTTTCAGGTGACCGATGAAATATGTGAAGAATGTAGGAAAGTGTAAAATACAGGAAAGTTGAAAAACAATAGGCTAGGCGAATACTGTCATTATTTACTGCAATGGTTACTCTGTTTTCACTTTCTCGCCTTTTGTAAGAAGACAAAGTAAAAGCATGCGCCAGGATCAACAATTTTTGTCAGAAAATCTTCTATTGACGTGCCCTGGCAATGAAAAATTGGATAAATCATATTCCTATATATAGTAAATTACTTCCTCTAACACGTGGTGTAGCCTGAATCCCTGCTTTATGGGTCCTTGAAACCATAAAATCGATAGATGGCTGCTTTTCCGGCTGAAAACTTCTGTATGCCTGTCAACGGTCAACGCGAGCACCTAAATCGCCTGCCGATTTTCAAAACAATTGACATTCCTCGATTGATCTGAACGAATGCAATCGTTACATACATATGTAATAATTTACAACATATTGGAACAGGATTTATCCACTTTTTCTGTATCAGTTTGAGTTTTTCTGTCAAAAAAAAATGCTATTTTTTGCTGCAGCATTACATAACTTTCTCAGAACTAGGTATAAAATGTACGTATACGAGAAAGTAAAAAAATTAAATAACATATATTTTAAAAAAGACATAAAAGATGGGAAGCATTCTTCATATCATCAAGTTGTAAATTGCGAGAAGAGAACGCATTGTAAATATAGGCTGTTCAACGGGACCAACAAAAAATTACGTAAAAGGCACGAAAACATAAAATGCAAAAACGTAAAACCAGGGTTTTACTGTATTATCAAATTTAACTGCAATAATCTCTCATGGCATTTAAGTCACAATTATTCCATTTTAGCATCCACTTCTTATATACCAATGTCTAAATGTTTAACTGTTAATAATTATATATGATGGATTTAAAATGTTCAAGAAAAATTTAGAATTCACATTCAAGAAAATTTAGGCAATCATCTTTACTATTGGGTGTCCCACTCAAAACAAGCCCGTGTGTCTTGGAAAATTTCTCAATGCTGGAAAAAAGCACATTCTAGCAGCATATTTCTGTGAAATAGAACTTTCACAATCAACTCCTGCAAATCAATAATTTTATTTAAAAACTATATAATAATTAAAGAAAATGTTGAAAATGCCCTCTTCAGGCATCTAAACATTTTTTTCCTGAGAAACCATGCAAAACAATTATATCAAGTGCCACAATACATTCACAACTTTTTTCCAGTTCATCAATTGTTTTGGAAATATTTTCATAATCTTAACACATTTCCCATTATCTGCAGGGAGTAATTCCTGAATACAAGAACACCGGTAAGATTTGAAGTGAAGAGACCTAAGCATATAATGGCAACTTGTCCTTTTAATATCAGTCTGTTGTGACAACTTTCTAATTGATTTCTTGGGGCTTACAATAATTTTTTGCTGAATATTTGAAACGGCTTCCTTAGTGCAAATAGGAGCATGATGATTGCATTTAAAATTCAAAACTGAACCTGATGATCTCCATTTTGTGATCAAATTTTGAATGGTGCTCTTGGCAGGAATATTACCATTAGAAAATTGTTCGTGGAAAAATTCACGTGTCCTTAAAGGAACTACTACGGACGTATACCTCAACAATACACAGCCTTTCTTTCACTGAAAACATTTTTGAAGATAAGAAACTAGAATGATAAACAATCAGAAAAAAATTAACAATTGTGTACTAACAAAAGACATCTATGTATCACAAGACTTGTATTCATAACGCTACAACTAGATTTCACAGTGTGCAAGAAATCAAGGAACAAAGCTGTCCTTCATGCAGGCTGGTTTTAGGTGGGACACTATACAATACTGCACAACTTCCAAATGATACACAAATTCAGGAAGAACACAAACATACCTCCAGCCGTGCAAAGATGTTACGTCTCAAGGCTGGAGTTGCAGCAGCCGCTGTAGCTTGGCGTAACTCTTCTGCAGCTGTACGTAATTGATTTTGATATTGGATATCATGAGGTGCTGATGCACACAAACGGGCTGCTTCAACCATGCGGGCAGTGGCATCAGCCAGAGTTTTGGCAGCTGCTAACAATCGGCGCTGAAGTTCTGAGTCAGGCTGTCTTTCAGCTTCACCCTAATAAAATAAGACACAAGTTAATCAAATAAGCATCCACTCATTCAAATGAGCATTTCCAGTGAGTCACCCATCCTGGCGAGACTTGTATTTGTAAAGGAAATAATGAAACTTTGGCCCATTCATTAAACAGTTCAGCATTCTCCTTCAAGGAATCATTAACAATCAGGCAGAAAATCTTAACACAATTATTAACAAGAAATAATTACTCATTGATTTCTAAAATGAATATATCTTTAAAAACAAGAACTTCAGGACTTACTTTTATAGACTGTATTAAATGGGCAGTTGCTTGTCCAAGTACTCGTGCTTGACGAACCATCTCTGCAGCATCACCAGAGGATGCAAATAGTCTATCGGTGGCAACAAGAATAGTCTCTACTGAACTCTCCTGAACAGTTTCCCTCACACGCTCTTGGCTGCTTAGTCTGCAAATTAAACAAATAAAATATAATTTCACCACATTTGATCAGTACAAAAACTAAAAGTTACAAATACTCTACAAGGCTACAGTAACACACCCTAATGATCCTTCCCTTTCAACTAAATTACGATTTTATTCAAAATTACTAATAAATAAGCATTATCATGGTAAATACGAAAAATAAAACATACGAGGATTCAGATCTGGTATGTTATCATTACAATTGTTTTATTTCATTTTCTCAGAAAACTATGTTGCACTAGAGTAGTTTTGTCTACTAGTAGAAGTAGACATCAACTAGATCAATCAAAAAGAAAGAAATGTATTATTCGATTTTTTTTATCATTCCTCACAGATCTGATATTACATATTTATAAACACATACCACTATGATGCTTCCACGATTATTACAATAAGAACAAACATTGGCACAAAAACTAACTTTATGTGATTTAGAAGATCATTCAATGTACGAGAGACTTCACTAGCAGCTCCACTCAACTCCCTCAGGAGACGTTCATCTTGGCAAGATTCATTGCATACAGCCACCAAGCCTTCAACTGCTCGAGCCACTTCCTTCACTGCTGCTACCAACTGTTCTTGACATGCAGGACTATGCAACGTTGGAGCAACAACCTGAAAATCGCTCATTTTATAATCTCAATTCCATTCAATTCAATCAATGGCAATTCATGGAAATGACACATGGAATATGGATGACACAAATCTATTGTATTGGTATACAATGAATAATTCAAACAAAAGTTACTGTGATTTTCTTAGTTCAATTTTTCACAAACTGGTAAGGATACATCATGATATATTTATCATCAAGGATCTGATATTTTTATATCAGCATGGAAATATATCAGCATAAGAAATATCAGTGTAGGAATTTTCGAGCTTCAAGTTTTTAAAATAAATAATTTAGGAATGTTATCAATTGTTTAAATACCTAATATTTATGTATCATATTTACATTGGTAAAAAAATACCTTGGCACAGGCTACAAGTTGTGATGTGGCAAGAGCACACTGTGTAGCAGCTCCAATAACTTTATTTTGAGTGGGCTGATCAGAACACGTAGCTGCAATGCTCTTAGCTTTCAACACCAAAGCAGCTGTTGCAGTGGCCACAGCCTTAGCCTGGCTCAATAGAGCATCTTGCAATCCCCTTTGATTAGCATCTTCCTCATCTCCAAGTGAACCAAGCACTGCTTGTGATGCCTCACCAACACGACTTGCAGCATTCAATAGATTCTGTCGTGGCTGAAATTTAATCAACAAATTAACAGCAGTGAAAACTGATTATAGATATATCTATCAGTAGTTATAATGAACCTTAAACCTTCCAAACGGATAATTCAAATTAATTCAAGCTTATAGAAGATGGTCCATGTTTCTCAATTACAATTTCATTTATTTGATAGATCTTCAATCATTATGATGATATTAAATCAAATGTTTAGTCATAATTCACAAGAATTCAAAATGTGCAAAAGTAGGCAGTTATGGCTGAAGGAAAAGATCTGTGAAGAAAAACTCACCTCCTTGGTCTCAGGTTCAGCGGCACGCAAGAGATCAGAGAAAGCAGAACAAAGTTTCCTTGCTGCATCCAGAAGACGATCTCCTGATCCTTCATCATCCATTAGAGCAGCTATCATTCTTACACCTCGTGTCATTTCGGGCAAATTGGAAGTAATAGTAGTAATTGCTGCACCTACAGCTGTATGATCCACTTCGTCCACAGGTCCTGTAAAGGTATTTGCAAAACACAATTTCTCAGCCTTTTAAGGCATATTTTAGCTCTATTATTAACTAATTGACAACTTATTAGAGGGTTTAAACAAAATTTAAGATTTCAGTAAGATGACAAATATTTAAAAAAGACAAATCTATGTAAAAACGTAAAATGAGTAACCTATAAATAAAGCAGAGATATATCAAAACAATATGTATAATTAACAGCCTACCTGAAGTAAGAGTGACAACCTGTGCAGTAGCTGCATTCATAGCAGCAATCTGTGAGCTGACATTCTGTTTGTTGGTATCCAGTGTAGTCTCCTTCCATTTTAATGATGCCTGTAGCACATCAAAACATTTATTTCACACAGCCATAAAGCTTAGATGACTACTTCCTGGCTCGTGTTACATGTTTGGTTCAGCAACCCCAAACCTTACCACGTTGGCAAACACAATCACACTAAATTCTTGCTTATTTACGAAAATGAAGTAAAAAATATTGAATCTCACAAACACACAAATACGTCCAATAATTCTTGGTTAATTTACTGAACCTTTGCTCCCTTCCTTAACCAAAAAGAAATCTATTTTCTCAATCTTTCTCAATAATACAGCAGCCAGAAATTTTTCCTTCACAAACTTCTACTTTCCAGGTTACAATATGATTAAAAATACTTAGTTTAGATACTACTATTAAATTTGAAATAATTTTAAGTATCACTTGATGAAATAAAAATTATGTGTACCTTGACTGTAGAAAATCATGTTCTTAATAAAAATTATGTATTTTTATACTTCTGACATTACAGCGAACAGTATTACAAGGAATAATGTAAAGTTATATAATGCAAACCAAATGCATTTAAAATTTTTCGAGCTTCAAGTTTTTAAAATAAATAATTTAGGAATGTTATCAATCGTTTAAATACCTAAAACTCAAAAGTAATTTTTTTTAATGAGTACAATTTAAAGAAGACTGATGCCAGTTGTATTGTGAATTTTTTTTTAAAATACACAGAAAATTCTAACAAGATAATTACTTGTTCACTATTTAAACTCCGAATTTTTAGATAACCACTTAAGGAATTTAAAATTTAACATTTAAAAATTGAACGTCTCTTACAAGGTTATTGAACATATAAGACATGTTACACTATAGTCTGACCCACAAGCCATTTTAAGATTACATGTAAGATAGAAGTAACTCGATTATAACACACTTGCATTACAAATAAATAATAAATCAATGAATAAAATACATGTATATTACAAGTGGATCCTTCTTAAATTCTTATGTGGGCAAATAGAAATAGAAAAATATTTCTCCTCTTCTCTGCTGTCCAGACAATTGGGCTTTAAAGGAGTCAAAACCCCTGAGATTATTTCTAGGTATTGCTGAAGACAAAAATCTACTTTTATTGGATACAAATAACATAAAATGCAAGTTTGTGAATGGATGGAATTGGAGTATTTCTTTTCCAAGTGAAATGACTTAACTTCTATATTTACAACTGGTGCATAATAAATTGATTTTCTGAAGTTAAATAAAAATATTTTTATGTATTGAAGGATAAGGATTTTTCCATGAATGTAAAATTTTAATATATTACTACAGCAAGTCAGTTCCCAAACTTTACATTTAAAAGCAGAATTGAAGTGATTGTGACCTTCTGTTAACTTGTGTTGGTTACTTATGAAACCGTAGTTAACAAGTAGGTAACAATCACAAATAGCAATAATATACTTTGAACACATAAAAAATCATCTCACACTGAAATACTTTGTAAAAAACTGATGGTAAAGCTGAAGGAACTCAATTGAAAATATCAGTTTAAAATAATAAGTAGTAAATAAGTGGATTGAAAACAAGCTGCTCTTTCATGTATGTGCATCAAGGCAACTTTCCTCTAAGTTCTCCTACTTACAGGGTCAGATCCTATTTCTGGAATCTGGGCCTTTGTCTGGAGTTCAGTTTCAACTGTTGTTATGACATCACGACCAGATGAAATTGTTGACAAAAGTGCCCGCTGAGGTTCAGACAAAACACTTGTCACCTTGCTTTGCTGCACCTACACAAACAAATATACGCAACTGTATTTATTAATCTCATAATCAACATTAATTCCAAATTAATTTTGTGTATTCTTCAAATTAATATTCAACCTTAAGGAATATGTTGTCCTCTGTTATCTCATTATTAATATTAAAAAGATTCTGATCTAGATACAATTTCTGAAAGAGACCCTGATAAGGGCCAAAATGTTAAATGAATAAAACAGTATTCAAAAATAATATTAGGGTCTGTTTTGAAAAAAATGTAAATCTTTTTAACATTAATATTCAATAATTAAAGTAAAAATCAAAGAGCAATTTTATTGCAGGTGAACCAACCAAATGAATAAATGTGCTATCATGAAAACGTTCTTAGAAGTTAATGACAAACTGAATGCAAAAACAGAGAAGCAATAATTTACATTACTACAATACCAAATGATAATGAAACATTAGAAAATTCATTTCTGACACTATAAAGGATGTAAATAAACATTTAACAAAGGGATTAAAATTTCAGCACGACATTTTCTACCAAAAGTGGCATCAACTGAAGTGTGGGCGACAAGAAATCAGACAAAGATAAGACATGCCATTTACAAGTACCAACATTCTCGAAACTGACCTTCAAACAGGAAAATAGAAAAGATAAAAAATTCATATTAACACCTCTTTTAATACCACCAAACCAATAACCACCTTTAATGCACCACAACCAATAATCACCTGAACATTGGAGTTCATAGATATGAACTTATGGAAGAGTTTCATGTATGTGAAAATAAATGTGGATAACAAATGTGAAAATAAATGTGGATAATGACTACTAGTTAACTCTTCCACAGCCAAACAAAATACAAAATACTAATATTTGAAGCAATTTTCAGAGATTTTTGTCACACACGAAGCAGTTTTAGAAAAACGTTTTGCACCTACTGTATGGTTTTGGTTAGTTTCACCACAAAAGTATAAAACAAAATTTCAACAGAAAACTTAAAGCTATCGATGAATAGCAAACCTGTAGCTTAAAAGATTCCTATAATAATAAAACCAATTGCAAATATAATCAATTAAAAGTTGAACTTGTTGAATCTCAAATTTTCACAAAATGAATCTGAATTTTTTCCAATGCTTAATACAATTCAAAAGATAAGATAATTATAACATCAAATAAGATGTAATTATATTATCTGGCTTGCATTTCACATTTCACGTCATTTATGGAGGAAATTACACGTCAATACATATTCAATTTGAAGAAATAAAATGTTTCAAGCACCTTACATTATTTGGGTTCTATTCTTTACTAAATAAAAATCAGCTTGCCTGACCATTCTCTTTGCTACATTAAGATTGCACAATTTTAACACTTTATAGTTGATGATTTATTATTACTGCTTATTCTTTATAAAGCACTAAACTTTCTTCACAAAAACACTGAATATCATAAGAAACTTTTCACAAACTTCTATGAAACTCTGATATATGAAAATGTATTCCACACACAGTTCTGATTAAACATTTTCCTTCTTTCAATATATCATACTTAAAAAAGGAATACACTATAAAATTTTGAATAAATTGTGCTCGTCACTCATGCAATAAACTGATCTGAAAAAAAGAGACAAAAGATACAAAATCCAAATCAGCTTCCTATTAACTCATTTAAGAAACTTGTCAGTCTCAATCAGAAAGAAGAAAACCAATACTAGTTCACTGCATGGTATGTGAAGTAACCACCTTCATTTGATTTTAAAAAGCATGTGGCAAAGCATATTATGCAAAAATTCTCTATAGTTATGCAAAAGAACGTGTCACGCAAACAATTACTACAGAGATATAAACTAACTACAAAAGACAACAGAGTAGGTGTATGTACACAGGCAGACAATGACAGTTCTGTACCTACTCGGCTGCCTGGTCATCATGGAACAGCATGGAACAAACAAAAGATATTTCCTTATGTTTCTGCTATATTGAGTGGCTTCTATCACAAGTTATGACATTTAAGGCAAAATCACAATATTAAAATCATCAATAAACATTGCATAGGTACATATAAAGAAGGATAAATGACAATTCAGCTACCAACTAATACCAAATTTAAAGAATAAAATTAATATTAAATGACAAGGGAAGCTTCACAATTTAGACATTAATGCATATTACAAGTAATTTATATGATAGCAAATATCTTCAGCAAATATAATGAATAAAATGTTAAAATAATGAAAATCTAGTTTCACAAAAACCAAAAAGATTGAAACAAATTAATTCCAAAATCACAGGAAGATTGAAAGATAATTGAAATAAAAAGCAGAATGAAAATAAACAAACATTATATTTGAAATGTTTCTAACACAAAATATATACTTTGCATAAATGAATATTTAACTTAAAACACAAGAAGATATTAATAGTTGGATTATTTGTTATTTCATGAATAATACATAATTAAAAGTATACAGGAATGAGGTCCAAACATTTAACAAGCCACAAATAATTAATTATTTTCTGGGTATTAAGAATTTATATTTTAGAGCAAGAAGAAAATTAAAACATTAGCAAGTCTCGACTAATTTTATGGATTATTTAAAACTTACAGTTAATCAAATTTACAAGTATAATGGACGCATCCCGAAAAATCAACTTCACAATAAAATTTTAATGGTCATTTAGAAAAGCTTTTAGAAAATTGGGCTAGTTCTCTCATCACAGAAACAAAATCTTACCATCGGCGGGGCATGAGCAAGGTTGGCCTGCCCTCCAACTGTCGTAAACTGGGCTCCCTGCATGTGCCCAGTGCCATAGGGCCTCGCACCTGTCAATATCACAACAAAAAACTTCCCCATCAACACAAAGTTACAGAAAAACCAGAACAAAAGAAAAATAAAAATCAACTTAGTTTAAAAAAACAAAAATTAAGAAGCTCTCAAGATGTCAGTGAAAGAAAATACATAATGAATACAAATAAGAATAATTTGAAAATAAGCTGAAACACAACAGATGAAACTCTTAGAAACGTGAGAAAAAAGAAGCACAAGTGTGTGCCCATGAGAGGGCTACAATGAGGTGGATTGTTGTCAGTACCTGAAGCTATTACATCTCCAAAACATCCTCACAAGTCGATAGTTATAACTCCAAAAATAAAAAATTAATAAATATATATATATACAAATATATATATATATATATATATATATATACAAATATATA